TCTGCCCTCCTTTTTGGGCACCCACCTTGGCTGCTGGTGCCGATGTATCTTGCAAGGGAAACGCTGGTTGCATCACATTATTCTGCATCATAAAGTTGACTACCGTCTACAAGTCTGTCAACTTGTTCACCATGTCTTCATCCTTTCTCAAGCATCTATCATTCCATACCTGAAGATTGCATTTATGGTAGTACTCATCTCGGTTACCTTTCTTGTTCGCATTTTGATCCCTGGCAACATTGTTCGCCTCGAGGTCGACCTCTTGTACTTCTTTGTTATTGTCCCCTCCTTCAGTATTAGAATCCATGTGTTCCTACTCCTTACTGTGGATGTCGTCCCCAATTTTACCTCATGTCCGTTGTTGGCCATCTATCCTTACTAAGTTCCCACAAATAGCACCAAATTGTGGGTGTTGATTTTCAATCATACAACCAAATAGGGAACTTAGCTGGAGAGCACGTGGCAAAATAGATTAAGCCAACCACCTGCCAATAAGAAGATGAGAATACCGCAGTGGTTTGTCCACTCGGGGGCACTCCGACAATCAAGTCAATCAACTTATCTCTCAAAGATATCAAACAAGTACACAATTCACAATCAAAAGCATCACAAATAAAAACATATCTTAGACCCACGGGGATGCCTCACTTTTATAATGATTAGTGTCCAACTTTCCCTAGAAGTCTTATTTCATGGGACTCTATCATTTACAATGATAACATCTATCACAACTCACACAATTCAAATTAAGATGAACTTCCTCAAGAGTCTCATCTCTATCTAAATAGGTAGCTTGATGTCATCTAAGATTCTTGTCCTCTATCCGAATATCTTGGATTTTGGCATTACCGCACCGAACCTTGGCAACGTCGCAATCACCTCGGCAAACATGACTCACCCATATGGCACCTCGACCGACATTTTGAAGGCACCTTGGCCACGTGACATCATTCTTAAATACTTTTCCCACAAAATCAAATAAGAGATTTTTTTTTTTTAATTTTTATAAAGGATGGTGGGTTTGGTAGAAACTATGGGTTGTTTGCCCATGGTTTGTTTGTTTGTATTATTATTATTATTATTATTATTTATTTTTTATTTTTTTTTGTGGGTTTCTGAAAATTGACACACTAAGATTTTTAACAAAGGTATTTAGTAAGAATAATTATTATATTGAATCATAATTAAAAACACTTTTTTAATAAAATTGAGAATTCATTAAATCTTTTATCAAATTGAAAACATAAAGCATTGGAGGTGAACATTTTTTTTTTACTAATTTTGATGAAAAGAAAATTTTGGGATAAGTGGAGAATTTTAAAAAGATTTTGATGAAAATTTGATAAAAAGATTGAAATAATTTACATCAAATCAATTTTTTTACTCAAATTTAAAATCAAATTAAATTAAAAAATTAGTAAAGGGTTAGAAATATGTTTAATCCATTTACTTAATATTTTCTATCATGCTCTTAAAAAAAACCACCACATGCTTTGTACCCATTGGCATATTAGTCCACTATTGTACAAATTAAACATTTCTATGGTCAGTGGCATGAGAACTAAACCATTGGACAAATTAACAATAACTTCAAGAAAATGACATTGTTAATCATACAATAGAAACCATTCTTAAAAGAATAATTAAGTTGTAACCAACTAGTACAAGTAGTCATTATTTTAGTTTACCCATCTTTTTCTTACCACTAAACAAATGCCTAATCCGGAAAGCCCACAAGTCATATATTTTATGAAGTTATTTTTTTCAGATTAGGTTTCCACAATGAACTTTTATAACTATATTTAATGTGGGACCCACTAATTTTTAAAACATAGAAATAATTTTGTACATTAGGTGGATACACCTAATCATATATTAACTAACAAGATCTGTGCCTCTGTGTATTAAAAAGTGGTGTTTTCAAGCTTATGAGTTTACTTAATATTTTATCTAGATCTTGAATATATATACACATATTAAATTACTTTTCTTCATTTCTTTTTCCCTCATTTTTTTTTTCACTTCTCAATTTTTTATTTATTTATAAATTTAAAATTAAAACACAAGATAAGTGAACATGAACTTGCACAATTAGTGCTTGGTTAGGTTCGAATCCAAAAAACCATTATGTTGGGAAATTATTTAATGGTATAAGATTATTAAATTATTTTTATTATAATTACTTATAGTTGGTTACTTAGTTTGAGATGTGGATTGATTTTTTGACTATTTAATTTGGGATTAAAAAGTCTTGTTTGAGATAGATTTTTTAGCCTTTTTGACTTTTGTAAAAGAAAAAATAAAATGATTATAAATTGAATGTGACATTTTGTCTTATTTAATTAAAATAGAAAATTTTATTTTATATGACTATTTTTAGTCCAAATGATCTTTCCAAAAAGGACCCTTGGAATAAAATTAGAGTAATGCTAGGGACACCAAATTTTCTACCAAACAAATGACCAAATGTCTCACATGGGTGTGGAGTCCGCAATTTTGTGGGCCCCACACCCATATGAGATATTTAGTCATTTATTTAGTAAAAAATTTAGGATGTCTAACATTTTCCATAAAATTAACATGATGTTTCACTTTCTCCAAATCCATCTTATCAAAAAAGTGAAAAGAAGGGTTCATGAATTTAATAGTTCATTTAACACGGATTTGGTTTCTCGCAAGTTATTATCTTAATTTCAGAGAATATTCGAGTTTTAGTAAATTTATTTTGGAATCAATTTCACCAATCTAAATCGTTCACTTTTTAAAACTCGTTAAGAAAAATATTTGTGCAAAAAATCAAAGATGATTAGATATCAGTAACTATATGTTTAAATTATATTTGTTTTAAAAAAATGAATGTCAAATTTAATTTTAAGAATAACAATTATTTTTTGTAATACAAATTTGATTCAAACATATAACCATCGATATCCGATCATCTTAATTTTTTGACTGAATGTTCAACTCAACGAGTCTTAAAATGTGAACGGTTCGAATCATCGAAATCGGTCTCAATATAAGTTTACCAAACTCAAACACTCTCTCAAATTAAGATAACTAACTTGAAAAAAACTCAATCAAAAACAATCATCAAATTAGCAAATTACGCGTATCAAATTACATGCGTCAATAACTGAGTGACGAACAACTGCACTGAAACAGAAAGTCTAATGAAAACACATCTCGCATTGAGTTGGCCACTTAAAACAACGTGTGGCATATAAGATCCTACTATTTCATCATTAGTTATTTCCATTAAAGTAAGAACTTGATGATTCATCTCAAGTCCCACTTTCTTCAAAGGGACTATCAATTGTTTTGTTTTGTTATCTAGTTAAGACAAACTTTAACATTACTCTTCAATTTTTCCTATATAAATTATTAAAAATTTTACTCTCTTTAGTTTACATAGCCACTTTTTCATTTATATATATTCTAATGATACTCTTCATTTTATATATTCATCCAAATAAACTAATTAAATAACTTTTTAAAACTCTTCGAATGTAACTAGTTTGGAGGAGTAATATTAAATTAACTATTATAGTAGTTAAGTCTCGTTTGGAAATAAATTATTTTAGTAATTTTTTAATTTTTTACGAAAAGATATGTAAAAAAGTAAAAAAAATAATGTAACAATTTATAATAATTTTTTAATTTTTTAACTAAAATATATAATTGACAAATGAGACTTTATTATATTAAAGAGAGTAAAGTAAGAAAATTAATTACAATAACTAACATGCTGCCTTTAAAGAAAAATTTGTTTGTTAATTGAAACAAGTGTCATAGAACTAACAGTAGCGATGATGTTGACGTAAAAATAAAAAATAAAATAAAATAAAGAAAAGAGGAGAGTAGCGGACTACATGCCTTTTTATTATAATTTATTTTTTTTTGCATTTAATTGCTCAAACAATTTTAACGATTCCATTGAATGATGGGGTTTCCTCAATTTGTTGTAGCTTTTACAAGTTGATTATAGTTTATTTTAGCGGTGATTGCAAATTGGATTGGGTTGGGGGACATCTTATCTATTATTCATTCAAAATTAAGTTGATTAGAAAAAAAATCAATTCGCACTGATTTGATGAATATGAATTGAGTGAGCTATACAAGTTGGCAAATGGATGCGATTAGTTTAGTGATTTGGACTTTATAAATTTTGGATATTTTTTTAAATTATAATTCCTAACTTTTATAATCTCTAATAACTAGTAATTTAAAAAAAAATATATTATTTAACTATAATAGACCATGGCACCATACATGTATATTTTTAAAGTATTATTTTTTATTTTTACAAAAATATATATTTTATTATTTTTATTTTATGTTGTTACTTGTTAGCATTTTTTTTTTTTTTTAACTTCATCTACTGGAGGATTGAAATCATGCAAATGCGAGACCATTAATCTGCCATTCAAACTGTATCTACAGAGTATGAAATATTTCATCTCCATCCGTCTACCGAAAGACACGCATCCGTTCAAAATTAATCAAGTTGGGTTGATTTGGTCGAATCTGACGGATCCATGATCACTCTTAATTTATTTTAATTTAAAAATTTGTACTAAATTATTTGGTGATAAATAATAATAACTTCAATAAATTTTTTAAAAAAATGATTATTTAATAAGTGAGGAAGATGATATAACAACCATAATAAGTAAACTCTCCCCAAATCTTTAAAAAGAAAATGAAAAAAAAGAAAGTAAACTCTTCCGGATGTACCAAGGGTGTTCTTAGGCGAGACACAGACGATCCCAAAGCGACATTTTATCATCTTCTAATTAAATGAAGCGATTATTAAATTAGCGTATAAGGTCAGCCCCAAATTCAACTGCTAGGTTTGGCTCCTTTGACACCACAATCTAATTTCTGAGTCCTACATTTACCCTTACCTATCACAATTTTCGAGGTTCATTACACTGATGGTTCATGGGTATATACGTCTTTTCATATAATTCTACTATATATTTGTCATGTAGAGGCATTCATCTCCACCTACCTCATGTATTTGATTTTCAGATCTTTTTCTTCTCGTTATTTCTTAGTTAAGCGCGTTGTGAATGCTTGGAATTCGATCGAAAAGGCAATCGAAGCTTCGAAAAAGTCCAAATATTGGAGCTCTGAACTCGCTTTCTCTGCTTTTTCTCTTCATTTGAGGTACTTTCTTCACATTTATGTATATATGTGTGTGTGTGTGTGTTGTTGATTGATCTTTGAAGAGAGAAGCGTATTTTCTTCACATTTGTTTTCTTAATCTTCATTGTGTTCAATTGTTGATTTTTTTTCCCGATGATTCTGTTGTGTCATTGCGTTCACTTTGATGGATTTTTTATGTATTTATTTTCTTTCTTTTCTCTACTTATGAACACGAATTCCTTTTCAAAGTCAATTGATGAAGAAAAAAAGGGATTCTAAACTAAGAAAATTTCTAAGTGGACCCGGCGTGGATCGCATGTAGAAAGTTGTGTCCGGTTTTATGATCAGATTCAGCGGAGGTAGAATAGTTGCGAAAGTGTGTGTGTGTGTGTGTGTGTGAGTGTGTGTGAGAGAGAGAGAGAGAGAGAGAGAGAGAGAAGCTAAGCTAAAAGCTCATTTTATGACATGAATGATTATCACGGCTCTGTGCTGAGTCCTAATATGTTTTTTGGGCATGTACTTGTGCAGATTGAAGTTGCGAAGTAAACTGAGTATGTTATTTGACGCGGTCAATCAATTGTTTGATTGGTGCAATTCATGAGTGGATAAAAAATGAATAAAAAAGAAGACAATTTAGAACTTCATCTTATGTTTTTCACAATTACATGGTTGTGTTAAATTTGTGTTTGGAAATAAATTTGTTAGCAGATTGAAACATGTGGAGTCAGCTTGGTAAGCTGTTATTGAAGTCAGTCAATTTGAATATGGCTTGGTTTTTGACAATTCATTGGTAAAGAAAAGAGAATGAACTGTGAAACCTTATATTATATGTCTTGAGTGCTTTTGTTTGTTTTCTTAGGAACTGAACAGAAGAAAATGAAGTATGGGACACTTACTAGAATCGCAATCTCACATTCTCGCTTTTCTTGGTTGGTAAATGAAGGTTAATTTCCTCTTGGTGCTGAAATTGAGATCCTAATTACCAATAAGTTTTCGTCAACTTGTTTTTTTCCTAATTTTTTTCTCAATGTGAACACTGTTATAACAGCTTTTTATAAAAAGGTACAAGGTTTGTATATATTGGATCTAGTTTGTTTTGTAATAAAATTTCTAGGTCTAATATGTGGCATAAAAATTTGGTCTACCAAATATACATCCTTTCTGTGGATACCTCTACCTTAAGTTGTCGATTAAATTGAGATCGTGGAGGCAATAATTGAGAATTTGAGCTATTTAGGAGTTTAAATTTTTTTAGGACTTCAATTTGGGTATAATTATTTATCAATATCGGGCTTGGTCTAATGAATTTTATCAAGCTTGGGCATAATTGTATTGATTAAATGATTTTCAATTTTTCCTACACGTTTCTCTTAGCTAGACTCTCTCACCCTCCCTTTCTTCTTCCACTTCTCCCTCGACTTCTTTCACTGCATCATGAGGATCTGATTAAGAACTTTCTTGCGACTCAAAATGGAACATCTTCATATGATGGCTTTTGGAGGTATCTTGTGCATTGGAAGAATCGTCCAGACTCCATTGTCACTTGGATTATTTACGACAAGTTTCATTAAATGGAGATTGTGAAGAATGCAACAACTGAGAGTTTTTGGGAGTTTAAATTTTAGGGCAATATGTTGTGTATAACTTGTTTATTTTTAATTTGTAGCAAATATAAGGCTTAATGTAATGAATTTTGTTAGATTTGAAGTAATTGAATTGATTATGGATTTTTCAACTGCCTGCTTTTTGCTTCTCTACTCTTCTTTGCTTCTTCTTCTTTTGTTGTTGCTTCTTTTCGTCATTGTGCTTCGGCAGCTCCCCTTTCAAATTTTATTCCAAGGCCTATCTCGGTATAACATCATCTCCAGATTGTGTTGATTTACCTAACTTCAAGGCAGTGGTCATGAAGGGACCAAGGTATATAAATACATGTTCAGAATTTCATTTTTCTTCTTTTTTTTATTATTTGTTATGGAAGAGTGGAAGGTGGGAGTCGGGGTGGAGCTTTGGATACACTTATATAGTTACACTACAAGGCACAGTAGGAATCTAATTAATAATTAGTTGATTTAAAAATTGTAATGGATTGTGAGGATGGGCTATAACTTATAAGTGATTCACATTGTTGGATCCAGACATTTTGGGCCACAACCATTTTTATGAGATTTCAAATTCTTTTTGAGGTTTATGGTTTGAACTCGGCATCAAATTTGATGTGCGTCATAAATGGAATAAGTGTCATGCTAACGACAGCCCTATGGATTTGTCATTAAGGTGGAGATAATGCCAAAATAATTATAATCCTAATTCACTTTCATATATTTCCAAACATTTCTACAAATTTCTAATACATACACTTTATACACATTCATAGAAACTAATAACTAATAGGTGGTCATTTTCCATTAAATAAAACAAAGCCAAAATTTCATTAAAACTTTTTATTTGAAAATATTAGTTACTTTTGTGTTAACTAAAAAGGATTGAAATGAAGAGAACTTGTTGAAATTCGGGATTACAATTTGATCACAATCCATGGGCAGATTTGTTCACCCTTCCATCTTCCCCAAAAAGGAAGAAAAATAAAAAGAGAAATTATATTGCTAGTGTTCCAAATTGAAAAATAAATGAAATTGAAATATGAGAAATGTATATTGGAATAGAAGTTTGGAGTTACGAATTCAGAAATTATGTTGGTTTAATGAAAATGGACCAAATGGTAATAAATACTGGTTTTTTATGGCAATATTATTTCAATGACTTGATGTTTGTCAGATTGTGTGTGTGTGTTGCATGGCTGTTTGTGAGATAGGCTGTTATAGAGTTCAGGATAAAAATCACTTTTTTAGTTCCTGTTTATTGCAATCACTGTTGTGTACTATAAAATAATTCTACTCTTGAATTTTTATTTAGTTCCTTCATGGCACATCTTGCTGGACATCAGTCATTTGTATATAAAATTAGAACTTTCACATCAAAAATTGTTGTTGAAAACATATAAATTAGGCAAAGTGTGCAAATGTATCTTGCAAAGTCTACATGCCTTGAGAAAATAGGGCATAAACAGTCTGCATGCATATTGTAAGTTTCACAGGATCCATAACTATAGGACCCACAGAGGGCTTTTCATTAGAAGCATGGATTAGTTGTAAGGTGAAGCCTATTGTTTGCCAATCCCAGGTCATTCTTTGTAATTTTGTGACATAAAAACACTTCGGCCTCGTTTGGGAACAGGCTAATTTAGTAACTTTTTGGCTATTTGGCTAAAATATAAGCTAAAAAAAACTAGTATGTTTGGGATAGCTTTTTGACTTTTTACGAAAAGATGTGCAAAAAGTAGAGAGAAAAGAGAATCTTAGACTTTTTTGTATAGGTTGTTGGCTTTTTGGCTAATTTAGTAACTTTTTGGCTTTTTGACTAAAAGTGAGGGTTCCCAAACGAGGCCTTAGTGTCCTTGACTGATGCAGTGTGCTCATGCAATTATACTTGAGATCAGATCGGAGCACACTTGCATTGTCTCTGAACATCTTCAATCTCCATCAGACATTCAGACCTATAGCACATGTTTTGTCTACAAAAATTGGCAATACACCAACTCCTAAATTCTGTGACAAACAACTAAATTTGTTAAAATTTCATTTGTTTTATTTATTTATTAAATGACACCTTTACTTATGATAGTTGCAGATGTTAAAAGTAACGCGGGGTATGTCTCTTGCACCACACTTGTCTCTCCCTAAATTTTAGTTGTTCCTCACTGTCCTTCCATTTCTATAGTATGTGTCAGTTATGTTGGTTGAATTTTTTTTAGAAGAATTTCTATTCACATCCTAGCATTTAGTTATATAGAATATTTGGAATGCAAGGGGAGTGAAACTTGGAGTTTGACATGCTTTGTTGTCTAGACTATTTTTCACCTTTCACTGATGTTCACTGTTTACCCTATAACTATTTTCAATTTATAATTTCAGTCATCGTATGAGAGGAGCAATTTTCAAATATTATAATCTAATAATTCATCTCTCTCATTGATAGGTTAAAGAACTCAGGAGTTTCTGGGCTACTAGGAGGGTTTTATTCTCTCTCTTTCTCTCCCTGATAGGTCAAGGAACAAGGAGCTTTGGGTGTTTTATAAGTGTTTCATTTTAAATATTTATGTGGAATGCTCTGTCTCATACGTCATGAGAGCGGTTGGGAGAGTTGCTAACTTTTAAGGAACTGAGACCTTTTGAGCAATATGCATGTCTGACCCTGTGGTTATTGTTGATGGTGTGGGAGCACTTTCTTTGTCAGACAGGACAAAATCTCTTGATGCCATTTCCTTCAATAACAAAGACCACCCAACCGTGTTGACAAATGGTGATGTTACTTTTCCTGAAACTATGGCCCTTAGAGTTGGAGAACTCGTACTGTCCAATGGGGAATCTTATTCTGGGCCCCTTCTTGGCAATGTACCTGAGGGTTCAGGGAAGTATGTTTGGTCAGATCATTGCAAATATGAGGGTGAATGGAAACGGGGGATGAGACATGGATTTGGCAAACTTCAATGGCCTTCTGGAGCAGTTTATGAGGGTGAATTTTCAGGCGGTTATATGCATGGGACAGGGACTTATGTTGGGCCTGATAATTTGAGATATAAGGGACGGTGGAGGTTGAATCTTAAACATGGGTTGGGGTATCAAGTTTATCCTAATGGAGATGTCTTTGAAGGATCTTGGATTCAGGGAACCCCAGAAGGGCCTGGTAAGTATACCTGGGCTAATGGAAATGTTTATTTGGGTGATATGAGAGGAGGGAAAATGTCGAGGAAAGGAACTCTTACTTGGACAAATGGGGACTCATATGAAGGAAGCTGGTTAAATGGCATGATGCATGGGTTTGGAGTCTATACATGGAGTGATGGCGGATGCTATGTGGGAATTTGGACACGGGGTTTAAAAGATGGAAAAGGAACATTTTATCCGAAAGGCTGCAAGCTTCCATCTGTACAAGAAGTGTACCTTAATGCTCTGAGGAAACGAGGACTGCTGCCAGATTTAAGAAAGCAGAATCAAGTTTCACACATTCACCATGCTTCAGCTGATATTCGAAACGTAAAGGTTGGTGGGAACCATGAGCAGTCTCGCACCAACAATGTTTCCTTAGAAAGACGCTGGAGTCTGGAGGTATCTATTGAAAAAGTTATTGGACGTGATTTATCAATGGGTTTGTCTGACAGAGAAAATGATGATGACAGGGAAAATGCTCCAATCCTTGAGCGGGAATACATGCAAGGTGTTTTAATTAGTGAGCTTGTTTTAAATAGTAGTTTTTCACCATCATCCAAAAGAGAAAAAAGGCGGCATAAGAAGCTTGCAAAGGAGGTAAAGAGGCCAGGTGAAGCAATTATTAAAGGTCACAGGAGTTATGATTTAATGCTCAGTTTGCAGCTTGGAATCAGGTATACCTGCTTCCTTGACTATCGTTCTGTTCCTCAGCCAAAACTTTATTTTCATTCAACCTCTCTCTCTCTCTCTGTGGCAATCTTTTTATCTTATGCAAGTGTTGTGTAGTAGTATTTTGATATTAGCAGCTTCACCATCCTGTTGGCATCACCACTGAATTGTTGAGTGCAATCAAATCTGTTTGTTCTCTGGGTAATTATTTGATATATATGCTTCAACCTGGACATCTATTTGAATATCCTCTTCATATATAATTCATCCGTCTATGCTGTGAGCTCCTTTTTTTTTTTTTTTTTTTTTTTGAAGTCATTGTAATTCATCCCGTTGTCCCATCACAAACATTTAACTTATACAGTGTGTAAAGAATTTTGCAGATTTTTATTATTTATTTATAGCTATTTATAATTTGGATGTCATGGTTTTCTTTTAACCTTTTCTGTGAAGGTTGCTTGAAAGTATCATGTTGCAGCAGAAATCTAAACATTTTGGGATTTTAATCTCATATTCTGCTGAATAGACAAGATACTAAACATGCACTAGATTATGATCAGATATACTGTGGGGAAAATTACACCTATTCAAATGCGAGAAGTACGGACTTCAGATTTTGGTCCACAAGCAAGCTTTTGGATGAATTTTCCTAAAGAAGGGTCCCGATATACGCTGCCTCATCAATCGGAGGATTTTAAGTGGAGAGATTATTGTCCTATGGTTTTCAGGTAGGTGGCTGAGTGCCATTATTTTATATTTTTTTTTATGACTTTGTGAGCATTGTATTGTTTGATTAAATTGCTTGCTTTGTATATTTGCACTTTCTTGTTGGCTGCTTAGGAGGGTTCTATATCTGTTTCCACAAATGCTTGTGTTGCATGATATCTTTTAAATGAGTGAAGTAAATGTTGGACATGTATCTGACATGTTTACACTAGAGAGCAATAATTGTTCCTACTATGCAGTATGCATGCAGCATGCCTATGAAAGTTTACTTCTTACCTACATAAATCTACTAGTTGTTGACATAATTATGATGCTCATTAAGCCATTGTGATACAGTAATAACAAGTTAGTCTTTTGGGATGTTTTGTTGTTAGTAAGGCTAGGGATAATTTTTTTTTATGTTCACTTAGTCCTAGTTTGGTTCAGCCCATGTCTAAGTTGGGTATATTAGGGTTTTTGCAGTTATTTTGTATTAAAGTTAAAATTCTCGGGGGTTTTGGAGTTTTAGTCATTTTGTGGGGTTTATGCATAAGTTTTGGCTTCTTGGTCTGGGGAGAAGGTATTTGCTGTAGAAAATATAGATTTGAGCTGAGAGCTCCATGTCACCTAGGGTTTAAATCATTGGAGGCCTAGGTTTCAGGAGTCGATCTCATCATGGTTAGGGACAAGTTGTATAAGAATTCCCCCTGGTGAGTATTCAACAAGGGTGCAATCCATAACCATTTTGTATGTCTGGGAATTATGAAATACTAAATTAGAACTATTATGCCTTAATCAAGAAATACAGAACCACATCATAGTTACATCAAAATTGAGACTTGAGGCTTGGCTTGCCTCCTTATTACGCCTAAAAGTATTATTGCTAAAACTATTCAATATGATGGCTTAGTAGTTCTGGTTTCCCTGTAGATATTACGCCTTGGGCCTTTCCCTGTTGTTACTTGATTCCAATTTTCTATATAGTCCTATATCACCGGATGCTCTTGGCATACCTCACTGTAAGTTCAAATGTCTGCAGTTACTTGTAGTTTGTGCTGTGTTTGTATGATTTGGAGGGTGTTTGGGAAGAGGCTAATATAGCCAAAAAGTCAAAAAGCTACAAAAAAAAAGGCCAAAAAATCATACAAAAAAGTAAGATCCATTTCCATTCTCTCTACTTTTTGCATGTTTTTCCGTAAAAATCCAAAAAGTCATTCCCAAACACTTTAATTTTTTTATCTCATATTTTAGCCAAAAGCTCACTAGGAAAGTGACTTCCCAAACAAACCCTTAAGATTCATTGAGTTGTAATTATCCTTGTAATTGTTAGCATAATAGAAGTTTCCAAAATTTGACATTTATTTCTTTTAATTTGTTTTGAGTTACTTTTATCTCATAGCTCAGAAGGCTCAATTTGCTCTTATTTTTAGGAATTTGAGGGAGTTGTTTAAGATCGATACTGCTGACTACATGATGTCCATTTGTGGCAATGATGCTTTACGGGAACTTTCCTCTCCAGGGAAAAGTGGTAGTGTTTTTTTCCTGTCGCAGGATGATCGTTTCATGATTAAGACGCTCAGAAAATCTGAAGTGAAGGTCTGCTAACTCAATTTTCACCTTCTGTATTTACAGGTCTTGGATTTGTATTTTCATTTCTTTTATCTGTTTTTTTTCCCATTTATGATGATTATAGTATAAAACCTAGAGGATGTTGCTGAAACTCTTGTACATCATTGACAGATCCTTCTTTAAATTTCATGCTAGTGTAATAAAATACTCGTTCTTGACCCTTAAGGAGTTGAAAATGGTTCTTCTTCAATAGGAGAAATGATGGAGAAAGGAAAAGGAATTGAGAGAAGAGGTTGAGGGAGAGCACAAAAAGATGAATGCTAGATAAATTGAGAGAGAGAGAGAGAGACAGAGAGAGAGACCTACAATCGACGTAATAGTAAGCTTATTGAGCTTAAACTCAAAATCTCTCAAAAGAGACCTGCAATCTACGTAATAGGGATATATAGAGGATCAAACTCACAACAAATCACCCGTATTACCTTCCAAAATTGGGCGCCAACTATGATTTTAAATAACAATATTGGGATATATATCGGTATCGGCTATATGGTCATATATTGGCCAATATCGGACAATATCAATTGATAAATCGATGAATAATGGTATCAGAAGTCCAAAATTCCGATACGTAACAGCTGATATTTAAAACTGTAATGCCAACTATTGTGGTAATTTATATACATTTTCCCTGCAAAGTTAAAAGGAATAAAATTTGAATTAGGTGTACTTGCACCACAAAAATACCTGAACCCAAATTTTCTAAATCCAAAAGATTTTCAAAATTTCAAATAACTGTAGGTAGTATTCAATAGAAATAAATTCCTATTGCATTAGGACTACATGAAGTATGTCCAACATTTGATGTGAGCTAGCCGTATTTTCTTTTCAATAACTGGATACACCCATTTTAATTGTCCAAATTTTATTTTTTTTTGCAATAATAGGAATTTATCAGTTGTGCATAGTGACAAATGTGAGGTTTTGGAGTAATTGGAAATTTACAAAATTTGTAATTTGGGAGTTATTTAAAAAAATAATTCTAATAGTTTGGAAAACTTCAGATAACTGTTTGATTAGGAAAAGAAATAAATATATAAAAAAAACTAATAAACATTAATCCCCATTAATAACTGTCCAGATTTACTTAGAAATGTATTTTTAATATACAATATAATTGGAAAAAGTTTAAATTCTTTTCAAATATGCAGGACAGATTTTTAATTCATAGAATTGATGAAAAAACTAGAATTGAGAGATTTTCAGAAAATGAAGGAATTTTATCACTGGTTGTTACTGAGCCCAGGGGACTGATAAATAATCTTTATTTGTGATTTGAGGGTATCATGACAGAAGTCAGAACCTTAAATTCCGGGATGAGTAATAGTTCTCGACTCCCTTGAAATTCCATAATATTTTGTTACGTCAACTTCTTTAGCTGACAACGCATAGCGGTTTCTTACCCTTAACTTGTCATGGAATCTTCGGAGTATGACCTCTTAACCAGTTTTTCCATTGATTTATTTCAGAATTCTGAAGTTTCTCAGAGTATCATTTATCTTGGGCGGTCAACAATTCTCTCTCCCCCCAAGGGGGATCAAGCACCCTTGAGACTCCATCAACTCTAGCCTCTTAGCTACAATCCTCCAATGATCTCGTGTGGAGATCCTAGGCCCTGCTCCTAGCCTAAGTAACTTGGTATTAGACTAAATGTTATGCATCTTGGAGAGGTCATGGGGATCACAACTAGAGATCAGCTTGTGGTTGTCTCTTGCTTGGGGAGATCTTGGCCAGGGCAGCTGAGGTGATTTAGGCTTATCCAACATGGAGCGTTTTGGACATTAGTCGATGTGGGTATATATGGAAATATGTTATTGACCCATGTGTCACCTCACATAGATGACACATGGTGCCATATCACTAGGAGATGCTGATGTGAAGATGACATAGTTGTTGATGTTGGAGAACTGAATGTCCATAACCACATTAATCACTAACTACTACAAAGAACGCAAATATGCAAGAGGGCTAACTTGGACTATGAGAGTTTTTAAAAAATTAACTTTCTGCTCTTCTACATTACGTTGTTCATGTCAATCCTGTGACTTATATTATGCTCAGCATGCATTGTAGTCTTATGGCTATCCACCATACTTCTCAGTTGAATAATGTCAGGTTGCAACATTACCATTCTTCATTTATTGATTTTTTTTTTTTTTTTGGTTTGTTTTCTCTTGCATAGGTTCTTCTAGAGATGCTTCCAGACTATCACCATCATGTGCGAACATATGAGAACACACTCATTACTAAGTTCTTTGGTCTCCACATGATCAAGCCGTCCAGTGGCCAAAAGGTAATGAAAGTGGTAACTTTTTAGCTTATTGCCAAAGAACTTGTGCACAATTATGACGTAACTGGTTATAAGTTAATACTTCCTCCTTATCAAAAATAAAAAAAATAAAAATCTTAATACTGTCTCAAGAAATGCAAGTGGTTTTAGATGTATAAATTTCATTAATAGGTTAAAATACACGTGTGGTACTTAAAGTATGCATACCATTTGGTCTTCCAAGTTTCAATTTTCTCAATTCAATCCGTAAATTTTTCAATATGACTCAAATTGGTGCAATTTTAGATGGTCGTCTAAATCATTAATAGAATAATAATAAAATTCATCTGTGGTTCCTAAAGCATGCATATATGCATTCCATTTGGCCATCCAAGTTTCAATTTTCTGAATTTCATCCATAAATTTTTCAATATGAGCTTAATTGGTGCAATTTTAGATGGTTGTTTAAATCATTAATAGAATAGTAATAAAAATCACCCGTGGTTCGTAAAGCATGTATACCTGTTCATTATTTATATTAAGGCCTCGTTTGGGAACAGGCTAATTTAGTAACTTTTTGGCTATTTAGCTAAAATATTAGCTAAAAAAACTAGTATGTTTTGAATGATTTTTTGGCTTTTTACGAAAAGATGTACAAAAAGTAGAGAGAAAAAAGAATCTTTGACTTTTTAGTATGGGTTCTTGGTTTTTTGGCTTGTTTAGTAACTTTTTAGCTTTTTGGCTAAACCGGCCTGTTGCCAAACGAGGCCTAAGTAACTTTTCCACTATTCATAAATAAGTAACTTTTTCACATTAGATTGGATCCATATTGCTGAGTATTGATTGGCCAATTTGAATCCATTAAGGGTGTATTTGAATTCATATTCTACAATATGTTTTGAGGTAGAAATTCATCATCATGAATAAGATGTTTATAGAGAGTTTTGGAGGTCCACCATGCTTAATTCATATCTTTGCATTCATCAAAAGTTCATCCAACGCCTTGAAGAACAAGGGAAATTTCCTGTGACCGCTCAGTTTTATTGATTAAATGCAAAGATCAAAAGTGTTGTTGTAAGTCCTCAAAGAAGTCTAAACAATTTCAGAAATGGAAGTCCAAAAAGAAGCATTCTTCCGCTCTTTTGTCGAAAGCATCCAAATTGGAAATGGCATTACTTCAAGAAAAAGAAGTATAGTGGGGAAAAAAAGTCTGATAGATGTACATGTGCAAGAAGAAAGGTCACTATGCAAAACAGTGTCACGTTTAGGGATGAAATTGACCAATTCGAAAACTTTGGAGACCAAATTGACACAAAACATGTACTTTAGGTACAAGTGTATTTTATTATAATTCCATTACGTTGTATTTGGTTGGGGGATTTGGAAGGGATTTGGAAAAGGAAAGGGAAAATGTTGGTGAAATGTGAATAAAATATACTTGCATTTCACTTAGTTTCACGCACTGTTTCTCTTTTCATTTCCAAATCCCCCAACCAAACACAGGCTTAATGATTCAAACAACCCATTTGCAATTAGACCAATTTATCTCAAATTGAAAACTTTAGAGACAAAATTGACAAAAGTGAAAGTTGGAGAAACAATGTGACGCAATATACTTTAGGAACCATAGGTGTATTTTATCTTCATTAATATTAACTTCAGTGATTCCTTGTGAAAGAGTTGAGTGTATTATGGCTGACATCCTGTAAAATGAAAGCTCTTCTCTTCTTTCAAACTTATTTTAGGCACATAATTTTATTTTATTTTTATTTTCTAACAGTATATTATATTTAGGAAACGGACTTTCAAGAAAATGAAATGCTTTATGTACACAAGATGTTAATTCTTGTAAATTGATTATCGTGCTGCAGTTTCGCTTTGTGGTAATGGGAAATATGTTCTGCACAGAATTAAGGATCCACCGAAGATTTGATTTGAAGGGTTCCTCCCTAGGGCGTTCAGCTGACAAGGTTGAAATTGATGAGAATACAACACTCAAAGATCTGGATCTGAACTATTGCTTTTATTTGGAACCTTCATGGCGAGAGTCTCTACTAAAGTAAGTATTGCTTAAAATTTCTCATTTTCTTGTTAGATATTAAAGGTGTTAAAGTAACACGGAGGTCTTTGTACTAGCGCCCTCCAATGTCAGGTGGTTATGATTAAGCATGGTTGACCATGGTGGTTAAAGAAGAAAAAGAGACCCATTCAAAAAACAAAAAAATGGTTATTCGAATTTCTTGAGATGAGAAAGTTTCTTCAGTTATTCAATTTAATTGAGTGACTGATAAGGAGATGAAGTAGAATATATACTGGGTTTGACGTTGGTTCTTTTCTAATGTTGGGTGCAATCCTATAGGGCCACTTTGTTGATTATTTTGTGGTCACATGTGAATTTTCATTGTGTAAAAGCCTGTTGTCTAACACTTGATCACCAACTGAATATGTGTTAGGCTATTGGTCAAATATTACACTATTTTCCTTGCCAACCGCCACATTGTTGACCATTTTATTGACTATGCACTTTTTCTTTTTCTTTTTTTCAAATTTAAAAGTATTTGTTGAAATTGAGTTGACATTTTTTTTATTTTTTTAATATATTTTTACCATTTTGTCTATGTAATTATATATTATTGGTTGAAATTGATCTGTAATTGTTGATAATCTGCTAAAATTGATAATAAATAAAAAATAAATAAAAATTGGGTGGTAACTTTGCTGAAATTGAGGTTGTATTTGATGGGGGATGGAGTGGAAGGAATGAGGGATGGGATACCAACATGGCTCCCCTCGAATGAAAACGTGGTTCCGTCCCTGGTGACACTTGTTCTAGGCCTACATTTTTTGAAATGGACCTCTTTTAAGCAAATTACTATCTAATTAGAACTAGTTCGATCATGTTTGCTAACTGGTGCTAGCTTTAAGGTTAAATTAATCTCAGTCATACAGTCTGCCAGAGTGTTTGTTTTTCAACTAATCATAAAACCTGCCAAGAATTTCCTCAATCACGTTTGCTAATTGGTGCTAGTTTTAAGTGTGGATGAGGAATGATAATCATTACTCCGTTTTCTCTTCAGTTGTGTTCAATTAATCAGGAGCAGTGCAATATGCAGACAGTTCTTAATTCTTACCAAATGATGTTTATGGCTAAATATTATGAGGAAAGCAATCTAGAATTAGATATGATTTCTCCCATGTATCAGAAGTGATGTTATTTGGATGGAAGGAGCTGAATGACCTTCCAATGCAGAGCACGACTTTCTTTCTATTTTTCTTTGAAGGGGGCAATCAAAATAAATTAACAATCAGCAAAACTGTTTCATTTTGCTGTAGTTTATCACCGTGCAGTTATTTATGTTTGCATTACCATTTTGGTAAATCACATGGGTCTTTCACATATTACTCTTCTATCAATTGAACAATTAAATTATGGAAATTTTCAACCATGCATGTTGTCATGAAATTACCTGAGCTGCCAACAGTTCATGAGCATTTTTATGTCTCAAATCCTGAGCCCCGCTACTGAGATGTTTTAAGTTTCAATGTGGTTGTATACTTGGAATATAGGAAACTTACAAAAATAATGTTTTCCAGAGGATGTTAAACTCTACATGAAATCTTGGTACCAATGTCCCAAAAAATGGTAAAAGAATGAACCTGTATATTGAAATCCTTAATGATATTACTTAGGTTGACATAAGATATATACAGGTTAACGCCATGAAAAGAATAAAAGAAATGCATTTGGTTGTCAAAACAAAATGGAATTATTATTTTCCAATGTTGTTTCCTTAAACCTCCAAGGTGTTATTAGCATGCATATTTTAAACTTATATTTCAACTATGATTTTGAGCATATTTAAAATGCAATGCATATTTCACGTGCTTTGGTTTTCTTTTCATGCATATGCTGTTGTTTGTATCTTCTAATTCTCATTTAACTATGCTTATGTAGGCAGATTGAAATTGACAGTAAATTTCTGGAAACACAGCACATTATGGATTACAGCCTTCTGTTGGGTGTTCATTATCGAGCCCCTCAACACCTGCGATCTCTTATGTCTTACAATCGAAGTTTAAGAGCAGATGGATTGGGAATTGTTGCAGAAGAAGGTGAACTTCATTCATATCCAGCAACTGATTTTCTTCAGTACTCCAATATGACGCTGTTTGAACTTCCTGATTGTTGGTCAAATAACAAAATACCTTCCTGAATGTGAAACTGTAATAAGCATCAAAGACACAAAAATAGATAAATAAAATTGTGAATGTGGTATTCCAATAAGCTTGTATAATTTGCACGGAAGTTGCCTTTATATTGTTGCTTGTCACAAGAGTAAAAAGAAAAAAGATTGGTGTGGAAACCTCAAGGAAATTAACACTTACAAAACTTGATTAATATGTTATCCACCGTGTTATTGTGCTGTGAAGTAAACAAAAACTGAGGACGATCAATGGTATGCTGCTAATCTATGAGGGAAATAGCTGCAAATTTCTATCGCTCAAATTTTTTATAGGCTTATAGCTTGTAGTGGAAATGCAATTATTCAAGTTTTGGGAGTTTTCCTCCTTTTTTTTGTTTTTCCATTTATTATTTGTTTGTTTTTTGTGATCATATAGGCCACAAAAAGCCTCTAGATGACACTGGGCCAACATTTGACTGCTTGTTATTAGTATTTCAAAAGACCGAAGCCTTTCCTTGACTTTTTCTTTAGTCTGTTTTTGGATCTTGGATTTGTGGAGCAATTTGTGTAGGAAAAAAGAAATGAGAAGGGAAAAGTGAATGAAGTAGAAGCTATTTATGTATTTAATTTTTTTTTTTTTCAAATCTCTCTTTTCATTTCCCTTCACAAATCCAAGATTCAAACACGATTCCTGATCGTGATAGCTGGTTCTTAAAGGATTTGGTTTGGATCTTTCATACAATATGCTAGGTTTGATTTATGCATAAATGTTGAACGCAAATATTTTTTTCTTCTTTGGATACCCAAAGCCATAATAATTGGATTCTTTCATCCAATCTGAAATCACCATTCCCCTCTTTATACAAATATTACTGCATCTATTGGCACATGAAACTCTTAACTAAATTTTGTTGATATGATCCAATCAGAATCTATGGAGGATGAAATCTCCAATTACCCACAAGGCCTTGTTCTGGTCCCCCGTGGAGGCGGCGATAATAGTAGTGTTGTGGGCCCTCATATCAGAGGTAGCCGATTGAGAGCTGCATCTGCTACTGGTGATGAGGAAGTGGATGTGGATCTCCTTCTTCCTGGTACAGCAAGGTATGATCATTAAACCAGAATTCTTTCTAACTTGTGCAAAAGCATCAGAAGAAAGCATGCATGATTGATTCTTGAATGCCAAATCCTGTTTAGATTTAGTGTGTAGGTGAATTCAAATGGAAGACTGAAATAATTATAAAGGGGAAAGTACACTTACACACCTTGATGTTTCTGACAGTTGCACATATTACCCATGGTTTCTGAAATAATACTGATAGTAACATCCCTATCAAAGTTGTCAACTGACGTTGATTCAAGGAACATGCAGTTTTACAATTTTGCCCCCATAGATTTTCCAGAATAAAAAAAATAAAAATTCCATCTACATTTCGTCTTCCACATTCTATCGTGTCACCTTCCACCAGCCAACCACAATCTCTTTGTCAACAGAATACTATGGTCACCATCACCTTTGAGATCATCACAACCACCATCCACCATAACGTAAATTGTTTCACCATCCTCTGCACGACACAAGCCCACTGTCGTCAACCAAAAATCACGATCACCATCCCTTCGAGATTATTACCACAAGTATCCATTGACCGCATGACAGAGCATCAAAACCCGTAGAACCAACTCCACCATTATCATCAACAAACACTATATACCAAACTAAGGAACATTTCATTGAAAGAAAACCATCTTAATATCTGCAATTAAGTTTGGCATATTGGTTAAGAACTAAGAAGCATTGACACTGTGTTTGACACCAACATAACATGACACTCGTCGGACACTTCTTCACACTTAGACACACATAAAAAACACTGCAAATTTGAATAAAATAGCTTGGAATCCAATGACAATAAAAGTAGTGTAAATCTATACCAATTCTCGACTTAAAAATTTATTATCTTTGATTTAAATATTCATATATATAACACATAATAATTATTTATCCTTAAATATGGATTTTAATAAATATATAAAATGATATATTGTGCACGTGTTCCCCTTATGTTGTGTCCTACATATTTTTTAAAATTTACTAATCGGCATGCCCATGTCGTGTCACGAATCCGTGTCGGTGCTTCATATGTACACAGGTAGAAAAGATGGTTTTGGCTCACCATTTTTCATTATCATTTAAAGTTACATTGATTTTGATTTTTTTTTCTTTTTAATCTGGTTAAGCAGACTCCAGATCCAGCTTGGAGTGAACATGCCAGCAAGAGCAGAGCATATTCCAGGGACAGAGGAAACACAGATGTTTGACAAGGTATATGATGTTGTATTGTACCTGGGTATCATCGACATTTTACAGGACTACAACATAAGTAAGAAGATCGAGCATGCATACAAATCTATTCAATTCGACTCAATGTCAATATCTGCAGTGGACCCTATATTCTACTCCAAGCGCTTCCTAGAATTTATTCAGCAGGTATTCCCGCCAAATGTTGCAGCGAGTTAGAAAGACCCGTTTTGCTAAGACTGCCCTTTCCCTTCCCGCTTTAACAAGATGGTTCCGACATCTCAAAAACCATAATTTGGAATTCTTTTACACAAGTTAAAAGTGGATGGAAGATCTCTGTTGATGTATGTGTTACGTGTGTAAAAGCTACTCTGAACCCGTTAAACATGTCTCAAAGTTTCTTTCCTGTTTTTGTCCAGTTTTGTTGTGACTTGGTTCCATGTAGTATGCAGTTTTATTCATGTTCCCTTGTGTCAAACCATGAGTAGAGTTTGTTCTTTGTTCATCGTTTTGTATCACCACCTATGTAGATACTCATGGTTGATCCCTCGTCTGGAGAATAGTTGATATTTTGCCATGTAATCCAATAACATAAAACTGTCTACAGTTCTTCCATTGTTTGCGGGAAGCTGGGTACCAGGTGTATACTTGATGCACAGTGCCTCTTGAGAAACACAACCCTGGCATCGGCTAAGTTCTCCTCTTGTACTCAAATCAATATGTAACTTAAATTATGTGGTTTAGATTCATTTTGAATGTGATGGGAACCACACTCGAAATGAATTTAGATCATATTAATTTTTATGTACACTTATTTGTGTATGTAACTTTTGAGTTGTTTCACTTGTGAATAAGAGGCACTACGCACTTCACATTATGTACAAAATTCATTAAAATAACCAAAACTAGATATAACATTTTCCACTTTATACAACTATTTTATTATAGCAATCCATTACAAGCATTTTTTATTTTATTTTTTTGTTGAGGAATTACAAGCGTGTTTTTGTATAATAGTAAAACTAGTTATAAACAATCATCAAACTAATTTTTAAGTTTTGAATAATTTTTTGTGATTATATTGTGAATGATAATAATATTTTTAAGGGTAAATTACACTGACACCTCCTGAGATTTGATCTAATTACATTTCATCCCTTGATGTTTTGAAAATTACATTTCTATCCCTGTGGTTAATAGTTTTATTTCACGAACCTCCTGCTTATATAAAAAGCAACAACTCTTAGTGGAAAAATATAAGAAATTATATTGAAAAAAAAATAAAAGGAAAGGAAGGGATTGAAAAAAAAAAGTAAAACAAAGAAGGGAAAAAAAAAAAAAAAACAGAAGAAGTAAAGCAAAATAAGAAAAGAGAGCCTACGAGTTTAATATTTTCATTCCATCTAAATAATTACAATAACAAGGGGGTAAGTATAATTTTTCAAACGCCAGGGGATAATATGCATTAAACTCAAATCTCAGGGAGTGTAAGTGTAATTTATCCTATTTTTAAAAATAGTATTTCCAAACCAAATCGAACCACATTTTCTAGTTTGGTTTCAAATTTTTTATTATTTGATTTACGCTCCGTTTATTTGGGTAAAAAATATTCCCTGTGGTTAATAGTTTTATTTCACGAACCTCCTGCTTATATAAAAAGCAACAACTCTTAGTGAAAAAATATAAGAAATTATATTGAAAAAAAAATAAAAGGAAAGGAAAAAAAAAAAAAAAAAAAACAGAAGAAGTAAAGCAAAATAAGAAAAGAGAGCCTACGAGTTTAATATTTTCATTCCATCTAAATAATTACAATAACAAGGGGGTAAGTATAATTTTTCAAACGCCAGGGGATAATATGCATTAAACTCAAATCTCAGGGAGTGTAAGTGTAATTTATCCTATTTTTAAAAATAGTATTTCCAAACCAAATCGAACCACATTTTCTAGTTTGGTTTCAAATTTTTTATTATTTGATTTACGCTCCGTTTATTTGGGTAAAAAATATTTCTATGTTTGGTGGTAGTAGTGACGGCAAAACGGAGATAATAGTGGTAGTGTGATAACATTAGTAAGACTTTAATTCAAAAAACGTTTTGCCTTTTGAAAGTAAACATTTTTTTGCCCATAAAGACTTATTTTTTGTTGACTATTAAAAATAAATATTTTTTATCCATATAAACTTGTTTTCGGTTGACCATTAAAAATATTTGCCATTGACTTGTTTTTCATTGTATCAAATACCAAAAAATATAAAAAAAAAAATATATATATATATACATATATTTTATAAAATATTTTCCACCCAAGCAAATAGAGAATTTTATGAAACTATAAATAATTTTATTCTTGATTTACTCTAAAATGAAACCAATTCAAATCATGCTCACCACCATAAATATAAGTAACTATTCTATAACCCCAAGTATCATGTAACATTATATTGTGCTCCCAACTAATAACATCGTGCAAAACTTCATTGGTGGAATAATGTTAACCTAATTTAGACCTTTGTTTGGAGTGTTGACTTTTTAACTAAAATAATTAAAAAGTCAAAACATCCGGCCACATCACTCTCAATTTTTTTACACATTTTCTAGATAAAAAAATTATCTAAAATAGCCATTTCTTTGATAAAAAATTAACTAAAATAGCCATTTCTTTAGTTAGAAAATAAGGAATGAACTGAGTGTATTTTGTAGTTTCACATTTGCTAATAAAACCACGTAAACAATGCCACATAATACTCCAAAACTATACAACAATTTTCCAATAAGCATAGTAAACCAACTACTTTTATTTGGAGAATTTTGCTCAAGTGCCACATGGAATGTAGACTACTTACCATTCATCATACAAAGAGAAAAACTGCATGAAAACACAACATAATCCAAACAAAACCTATAACCGCCTTCCGTTAATTTGTCATTTCATCAACTAGTCAACCGTCAAAGAAAGAAGGTTCATGAACCAAAAAGTAAAACATTTAATACAGGTTTTGCCAAAACTGAAACATGCACATCGGTATGAGCAACTACAGTTCAAGCTCTCATATCTCTTTTCCCAATTCATCAACATATCCAATCACAACAAACTTGAAATTAAGTTTTTAAATGCATACAAACACAACTCTTGCATACCTACCGATGTGCCAAGACTATACGTGGGACCACTTATCCCATATTATGAGGTGGTGGAGGCGGATGAATTCCCTGCTGCCCCATCATTTGTTGTCCTGGAAAACCTTGTGGAGGTGGCGGCATTGGAGGCCTTCCCATCTGAGTGCCAGGAGTGAAGTTTGCCATGGCACCACCACCAACTGGTGGCGGTGGTGGAGCAGGTAGATTTCCACCTGGTGGCATAGGCCTAGGTCCATTTCCCATTGGAGGAGGTGGTGGCAGCACAGATCCTGGTGGCGGGCCTCTAGGAGGATTCCCCATTGGTGGTCCTGCTGGAGGCCCTTGCGGTGGAGGCGGTGGTGGAGGTGGAGCTTGGGATGGTGGTGGCAAAGGCCTTGGTGGAACACCAGGAGCGGTTGTGCCATTAGCTGCAGGGGTTGGTTGGCCTTTGTTTGCCTCTGGTGGCTTGGGTTTGAAATATAACTGCAACTGTACATTGATTCATGCCAGAGAGTCAAGTCAGATAAGATATGAAAACAAGAGACCACTGCTTATCAAAACAAGAACAACAAATAAACCCAGAACCAAGTCAGACAAGATTCACAAACAAAAGATCATTACTTAGAACAGCGGCCAAACAGCTGTGTAGGCAGTGTGGTTCTAGAGCAACAACTTGGGTTTTAGGCCTGGGCAACCCTTTTAGGCTTTTGGTCTCAAGCTTAGCCTGAAATTTTTCAGCCAAATCTATGAAACACTAATACTTGTAGAAGAGCCTCGTATCCGTATCATAACCAAATTAGATACCGATACTCCTTGGATACTCATGAATACATATCCAATAATTTCTACATGTATCCATAATTTTATTAAGTTTTGAGAAGTATTGGGTACTTTTCAGATATTCTAGATAACTATTAAAAAAATTAAAATTGTGATAATTCTTGCAAAATATTAAAGTATAATTTTTACGATAAATATAATAATAATTTTTTAATACTTCGCTTCTTTAAGAATAAGAAATAGTGAGACTAAAGTAGTATCCCACTTCAGAATTTATTGAAGTGATGTATCCTTAATGTGTCCTGTGTCCCATATCTGTATCCATATTTTATAGATAGTAAGGATATTTAAGTTATAATATATATATCTGTGTCCTTAATCCATATTTCAACAATTAAACAAACAAGTAAAATTACTTGCAACATTTTTGTATATAACACTCAAAATGTGAACGGAAAAAGCATAGGGGGCAATGTAGACAAATTAAAATTGATATTTCAGTTAAATTTTTATAGGACCTAATAAAAAGCAAAAAGCAATTCATTGAGCTTATGTTTAACACAATTCTAAACATCATAAGAAATAAAAATAAATAAAAAAAAAATTACAAACGTATCCTGATGACCTATTGTGTGAAATTTTAAATTTGGCAATGTGAACACAAGCTCATTTGTTGGGCTGGGCTTCTTGGGCTGGAGATCCGGCAAAATTGGGCCAGGGCAGATACTGATAGTTCTTGGGCAGGCCTTGGTTACACCCCTAGCCCAACTGAACTTGCCTGAGTTGCAGCCCTATGTGGGTCTAGGTCGATGCTTAATTAACTTCTACTGGTCCTGAAAACCAGGAGTCAGGGCCACTTGCATAGCTGAATTGGGTTTCTAGGTTGCACTAAGTTCTCTGGTCTATGAAATCAGTGAACAACCCAGGACATGGTAGAATCCACACAACAAAAAACCTGGCTCACAACTAAACCTTATCAACTGGTCACTACAAGAAATAACACTTTTGGCGACCAAATTTAGCGACTAAAAAAAATTTGGTCGCCAAACGCTATTGAATTAGCGACCAAATATTTTATTAGTCGGCAAAAGTAAAAGAATTAGCTACTAAAGCTTTTTAGTCTGTGTAAATTGCTTATTGGCGACTAAAAAAAATTTAGTCGCTAATTATCAAACAATTGGCAACTACAATATTATTTAGTCGCTAAAAATTGAATAATTGGCGACAAAATTAAATTTTAGTCGTTGTACAGTGACTTTTGGCTACTAAAATTATTTAGTCGCCAAATGATGTAGCTGCTAAATTTTTTTAATCGAGAAATATAGTTTATTGGCGACCAAAAAATATTTTTGTCGCTAAATATTCCATCATTGGCTACTAAAAGATATTTTAGTCGGCGATAGTATATATTTTAGGCTACCAAATTATTTTTGGTCGGCGTATTATACCTTTTGCCGACAACATAATATTTAGTCGCCAAATGTCGTAATATGATATTGAAAACTTTTTGGCGACTAGCAAAAATTCAGTCACTGTATATGTTTTTCAACTCCTTATATTATTATATATTAACATTTCTCGACAAATACAACATTTAGTCGCTAAAGATCGAAATTTTTTAGAGGGAATTATTTTATATTCGCGCCACACATTTTGACTCACATTTTGCCTCTTTGTACCACCACCGCCGCTCTCTCACACAGATCCTCTCTCTCACACAGATCCTCTCTCTCACACAGATCAATAACCATCAAACCTCACCACCGCGCATCCTCAGCACTGTGTACCCCGTACGCCTCAAATCAGCACCGCCACCGCAGTTAACAGGTTCGGTCTCTTTCTCACTCCCTTTCGGTCTCTTACTCTGTCGGTCTCTGTCTCGGTCGCACTCTCTCTATCTCGCTCTCTCTCTCTCACTACCCTTCTTCCATTTTCCCATCTGGTTTTGCTCTAGGGTTGTTTATTCTACCCATTCAGTTTAATATTTTGTTCATGTCTACAATGGGTTTGTTTGAAGTGGTTTCATTACTAGAGTTTTATGGGTTTCATGTTGTAAATGGGTTTGATTTTAGGGTTTGATGCATTTCCCCCTCTTTTCTTTTCTCTCTCATTATTTTCGAAGCCCTAATCCATTGATTGTTTATGTATTTGCATGTATGGGTACTCATTGATTGTCTATCTAATCTCATGTATTCTGATTATTTTCATTAAAATTTTCTGTCTTGTATTCTACTCGTCATTATTTTCTAAATCTGTTTATGTAAATCTGTGTATGAAATTTACATACACAGATTATCTGTGTATGCATTCTGAGATTGAGATTGAGATTGAGATTGAGATTGAGATTGAGATTGAGATTGAGATTGAGATTATCTGTGTATGTATTTTGAGATTGAGATCTTTGTCACGAAAAATACAAAAAAAAGTATTTGTTAATTAATGTGTTTGAAAGTATGTGTTTGAAATTATAAGTGTTTGAAAGTATGTGTTATAATATCAATATCTAATACATTTTTTTTTTAAAATCATGATAATGAGTTGATTTTACACATTTTTTAGGAGTAAAACACTCGTCAAACTCAATTAATTTCACTCATTTTGTAGCTGTGTATGTGACTGATTCATGTGTTGCCATTAAGGCACAATGTTTTTTTATATTATTTTGCCAAATCCATCTCTATTGATGTTATTATTTTGTTTCCATCAAGTTGAAATTAGTTTGTAGAGTTTCCATTTTATTGATAATTTTCCCTTACTTGCCTACCTATCTTTACATTCTACTGCAGTAATCCATACTCTTTGATATATGTTTTAGGAAACTTGGTCTTTATAATTTGCGTAAAGTTGTAAACATTAATTTTATGTATGTATGTATGTATATATATTCCTGATCTTAATGTTATGTTTTGTACTCATCAAAATATGCACAGGCATAACTCTATTGTAGACTTTAGTTCCTTTACTACTGCTTATCTATTTGTTCTAGATCAAATCAAGGCTGATGCCTAGGGGATCAAGTACCCAGAAACTAGCTTTCTCTTCTTGTAATGTTAATATATCTATAATACTTTGAATAATTTAATTTTACATTTCTTAAGTTATTTGCATTCACCGGATCAGACTGTTCAATTGAACTAAAACATCTGTTTCAGATTTGTAAATTAAACTGAAATAGTGCATATGCCATTGGAAAAAAGTTGATAACTCTGAAACTAATGCATAAATGGTGGAAATGATGGTGCAATTAAATAACTCAACTAGATTATTTCCTATTATTTATTATATAGATATATATACAAGTTGAGTATTGATTCGTGATTGACAGTAACCAACTGTACAAGGTAGACTCTCTTTTTTTGATGGGTTTAAAAGTAATTATATGATAGCTAGGGGTGTTTTGGCGAGGTTGATGGGTATAATTATATGATAGATATGTAAAATTGTCTCATCTACGATTGTGGTGGTGTCTGCATATTCAGTAGCCAAAAATTTCAATGCTATGACCACTTGAAAATGGAAAATAATACACATACAACACACATATGGGTCCATACTCCATAACCAAGAACATGACAGTAATAGTGAAGAACATGACAGTACTAGTTTAACTATTTAAGAACTTTTGGTACCACATTTTCAAGATCAATTTCTAGATTCATTTAATTTTTTTCCCCCTCCAAATACTTGTGTGGACTTATTCCAATTGCATAAGGTTCCCCATATTTCATTAACCAAAAACCATGAATACTTTTCAGGGTTAAGTTTCTCTTTTTGTTGGTGATTTAACTTGATATGTGTTAAGAGGTAGCAAAAAATGGAAAGTTGGATTTTCCTAAGTTCTATAAAGACAGCCACACTTCCAAGAAAACGAATGACTGGATCCATTTGAAATGCAGTGAGCTGCATGTAAGTATGTAACAATGAAATAATTGTATTCAATATTTCTTTACTTTAGTACCCAATAATATATATGTTATTTAGATTTTTTTGTCTTATTTATTTGCAATGACAGCAAGAGATGGTCAATGTACAAGCGGTTGCCATCGAGTCGGGGACGCCATTGACACAGGAGGAGCTTTCAAGACAAGTGCTTGGAGAGAAGAAAAGGTACTTGCTTGGATTTGGGATCGGCCCACAACCCTCTACCATAGCTGCATCACGAGCACGTGATAAGGACATGGAGGCAATGAGAGCTGAGAAGGAGGCACTTCGTGAGGAGCGACAAAAAGATCATGACGGGTTAATGAAAGAGCGAGAGGAGCGCAAGAGGTATTACAATGAGATGTTGAAAGAGCGGGAGGAGGGACAAAAAGCAAGGGAGGAGACAAATAGAAGGGTCGAGCATCTTAATAACGTAGTCGCCAAATTGACACAACTCTTGGGGATCAAAGTTGCTCATCTGATGTTTGCTTTTTGGTAATAACAGTTTCATTAATGTCACACTTACTTTGTTTAAATATGTTCGCTGTAAGAGTTGAAAAAGTCATAAACTTTGTCGAAAAAAGGCGTTCGGGAAAACAGCCCCTAAACCACTGTTTTGATGTAACGAGAAGCTTCCCGGTGCCAAATGTGTCTTGTAGGGACAAACGGTATGTAAATAGGACATGTAGGTTGGGAATTAGAGTTGAAAATGTCATAACATTAGTCGAAAAAAGGCGTTCGGAGGGTGAAAATGCAAAATAGTTCCCGAACCTCTGTTTTGACGTAAC